AAGATAAGAAGTGAGGAGAGATGAAGGGAAGTCTTTAAATAGCTTTTTCTATACTGGTAAATATTTTATTTTGTGGGCCTAAAAAAATAATTTAAATTGTTCATTCAAAATTTTTTGTAGTAAATATTATTTGTGTAAAAAATTAATTTTATTGAAAATTGATAAATAGATGAACAAATCACATTTTATTTTATAAAAAAATAATTTAAATTTAAATTCATAGATGTTGTCCATTTTGAAAAATATAATATAATTTGTCCATATAGTTAATGATGTTCGATAAAAGTGACTTTTCTTCGTAACTTATTGTTATTGTTAGACGTACAAGATTAATGGTTTGGATAATTGATGTGAATGTATAATGGAGCTCGCGAAATAAAGCATAGAGGAATATAGGGAATAGTAGTATAGAAGGGACCATTTGTAATAAAAAAAAATTATTATTTAGGCCAAGTTTGGCATGATCTAAATAATACAAAAAGTCAAAAAGTCACTATCCTATTTAAGTCATATCATCTTATTTAAATCACATCACCTCTCTAACACATCACATCAAACCTAACCCAAACCCAACCCATATAAGCCAATAAGTCAAAAAGTGTACTTTTTTAGAACATCCCAAACCAACCCTTAGTTTCGGAATACCAAGTTTAGAGTGTCTTTATGGCATTATAATGCTACATTGACTATATTAGAGGTGTGATTTGCGGTGATAAAATGGGAGATGAGACATTTTTCATTTGTTTATTATGAAATATGTAAATAATATAAATAGGTTGATGGCATGTTATAGTAATGCAACGATGATATATGAAATAATAAATATTTACGTTATATGGTCATTCTAGTGTTATTATGATATAAATTTAGGAAGTAGGTTAAAAGTTGATTTTTTTTCAATTTTTTTTTTAAATATGTAAAAAAATAGAGAGATGATATGATTAAAAAAACTAAAAACTGGCTTTTAACAATATGTGATGTTTTTGCAAATAAAAAACTATATGATACATAAGTTTGTTTTTTGAATATAAATTTGTGGGGAAAAAAGAGAGATTTTTCTCATTTTTTCGTCATTGTTTTTTCACTTTGGACATTGAAACACAACAATTATTGGATAGTGATCCATATCATAGTATTACCGTTATATCGATTTTTTATTTTTAGATTTTTTATTTTTTTATTTTTTTGTGAACAAGAAAAAAACAATATATTAAAAGAAAAACAGGATAAAAAAACAACAAAGGAGTACAAAAATGTGTCTACCATCTAATAACAATGTGGTTTCTCAGCTAAAATTTTAAAATATAAATTCGTAATTACCTCTCCAAATATAAAATATGTTAAAATACATTAACCCCTACTCTTTTTAGTGAATGGAATAGTCATATTAATTCAAATATGGTGCTGGAAGTGCAAATGTTTTTAAGACTTATTTTGAGAAGATGATAAAAAGTGATTTTTTGGCTTTTAACCAAGTTTTTGGCTTTTTTAAACAAATGATTTGGTAAGTTGATAAAAAGCGACTTTTGACTTTTTTGATTAATGTTTGTTTATGATGTCAAATCATAATAAAATGATCAAACTACCCTCATTTATTTAAAATATTTACAATTTCACCTATGTAACACATTTTGACCCATGAAAGTAAAATTGTAATTTCACTGTTGGCTAAAAACCAACTTCCCAAATGAAAAAAAAAGACAAAAAAGCCAACTTTTGGCTTTTGCTACAAACCAAAAAAAGTGGCTAAAAGCCAACTTCCCAAAATAGCCCTAAGGAATGCATAGCCTGTGTCTTGATAATATTGGTTAATAATTTTTAAATTACTTGTATATTTTATATTATATGTATTTTCTTTTATTTTGTACAAATATTTAAAATTTCTTAATAAATGTTCAAAGCACACTTGATATCAAAATCTCATGTTTTTATTCAAATTTCATCAAATTAGTTCCTAATATTTAAAAAATACATGTTTTATAGCTTCTTTTCGTTTTTAGTATAAGTGTTTTGAAAGTGAAATCCAATTGAACATATGTAGTTAATTTTTATGAAAAATGTCTGATTACTTCATGAAATTCTGGGTTTGTTTTTTTTATGGCTTATTTTCATTTTTAATGATTTTTTTTTTAATTTCAGGCTTTTAAATTTTACTTGACGGGACAAATTAAAAAAAAAATCAAAAAAAATCGGAAAATATAAAAATAAAAGCAAAAAATAGGTGATTTTTTAATATAATTTTTCAAATTTTATTTTGGTCTACACGAAACAGACAAAAAGAAAGAGTAAATTTTTTATACATAATTTTAAAAAATCAAAAAAATATGTATTTTTTCTTTATTTCCAAACAGTCCTGATGTTTTTAGTTTGGATTAGATTTATCTCATGTTCACATCTCAAATGAGAGAGCCTATCACAAGTTCTATTTCGATGATCCAAACTGTTTATTTTGTAAGGCCCTCAGTGGATTAGATTTATCTCATGTTTATTTTGTGGACGATATACGTCAAAGACTCTATAAAACGAACGTTTTCAATCATTAAAACGGAACCCATGGTACACCTGTTCAAATTGTCTAATTTTACATATTAATGTGAGAGAAGTCAAACCCTTTTAATTTTAAAAAAAAAAATTTACTTGTAGTATTATCAAAAAAAAAATTATTACAAAATAATAAAAAAATTATAACTTTAATTATTAGTGTGTATAAAATTTATCACTTAGACCATCTTCTATGGTTACTCAGATTTGTCATTAAATTTGAATTTGGTAAAAAAAATCTTTTTTTTTCTCCAACAATTTTATCAAATAGGTATTAAATCCAAAATTTCACTTTTCTATCATCAAACTGAAGATAATGTGTCTTTCATCAAATCACTGTTTATTGTCGTTGCTGTATGTCTCCCGAATGTTCTCCTAAATGACCACTTCAAGACAAAAATTAGTAAAAAAATTGCACTGGCCGATCGATTATCTAGTCAACCGATGTTCTGATAAAGTTTTAAAATTCTTCGTTGGAACACTTGATATCAAGAAAAATTTTACTCAAAATTTTATTTAAATTTAATAAAAAAATTAATATACCATTATAGATGTTGTTATATGTTATTTATTTACTTTTTATAATATAAACTTGAAATTCTTCGTTTAATTTAAGCCTTCTCAATAAAATTTAAAGTTAAATAATTAGTGGAAGAGATAGGGTAATTAATGATGGAATTAAAGTGAATAGGTAGGAGAGAGAAAGAGAGAGAGTGTTAGGAGGGTTAAATGTCCCGTTCACCACCCGGCAATCCAACTTCAAATGCCGCTTTCCTGTCCCCTTATCACAGCTGTTCCCCTGTTTTCCTCTGTCCCCTCAATCCAATCTCCCCCACAATATAAATGCTCTTTTACGTGACTTACACTTTTACCCCTCCTCCTTTCCCTTTTTTTTCAATTCGCCCCCTTTGCTTTTATATTCCCCACATTGCCCCTTGTTGCCCAGTCTATATAGCAAAGCTACTGAGGGTAGTTTAGTCAATTCGTTGACGAGCATGATTCCCATGCAATGAGTGGAGTGGTTCAATATATGATATTTTTGGCTAAGCAAGTGGGTCTATTGTTTTCTTTAGTTTTTGCAATTTTGTTATTTCTGTACATTTCCCACTTTGTCTACACTCAAGTCTTCATGATCAGCCAGCCCCCCCTCTGCAAATAAATGATAACTTGGGATCTTCCAAAATTACCACTTTGTCACTTCAGTAAATTAGCATAATGTTTTATGTAGTATGTTTTTACATTACAAATGAAACAAGAGAAACACTTACATATGTCCAAAATATAAAAACAAAGTAAAATCAACTCCAACCCCATTATTTTTTTGGCACATATTGATTATTTTACGAAAATTGAGAGCTTCTAATTAAAGGATATTGTTAAACTACCATGTTAGGCATGTTTAAAATTTTATGCATTCCAAACTAACTAAAGGATAATGTTAGAAAATTAACTGTTACTATGTCAATTAGGCTTATTGGGCGGGTATTAAAATTTACGATCACACATGTTAAGCAATTGTTTGGTTTCACACTTTTTTATGTTAAAAACATTTTTGAGTTTTCAATTTAAGAAGATTCAACACACTTTTTAAGCAATGTTTTAGACATTTTTAAGCTAAAATCAATGTTTTTTAAGAAATTGTTAATTAAATGACATATGTTGATAACCTATTCTTCTCGCATCTTTTCTCACTATACAAACAATTTTTTTTCCTCCTTCTATAAAAAAATAAATAAATATATATATATATATATATATATATATAAACATGCACCTCTTTCACTCTCTCTGCCACTATGTTCGCGTTGCTCACTTTATGAATGTAGAATTACAACTATATTTATCTTCTTTTCCAATCTTACTTTCCATCAATGTTTCTTCACAATCTTTACTTTATCAAAATTTCTTCATAAACGTGATTTTAAAAAAAAAATTGTAAATAAATAAATAAAAGCAAAATTAAAATACAAAATACAAAAAAATTAATTTTTTAATTTTTTAATTTTTTTTTTTTAAAATATAAAAAATAATGATATGATAAAAAATAGACTAAAAAGCCAAACATCTTTCCAAAAGAACCCTAAACAAAACAAAGGGCAAATTTTAGTCATTTCAAAACAACAGGGGCATATTCGTCATTTGAGTTGTAAACCCCGTGCGCATTATAGCAGAGAGACTTATGAAAGCAAGAGACAGAAACCGTCTTTACGAAACCTTTTCCTAGCACAATGATGCGCTCATACCATACCACCTGCAACAGCGGCATTTTTTTTTTTTAATTTTCATGATCAACGGGTCAGATTCGCCAATCTCAACCAATCACAACCGTCGATCAAATTCCTCCCCTCCAGATCGGTACAATATAATAATAAAAAAATGACATAGCTTTTCGTGTAATTTTCCTTTTTGCCCTCCTTGGCCTTTTATCTTTGCTGAGGCTTCGAGGTTCTCGGCGAACAGCTCTTGCTTTTGTTTGCTTTCTGCTTAATGGAGGGACCTTAATCTCTCTCTCTCTCTCTCTCTCTCTCTCTCTGCTTTTCGTTCTTTGCGTTTGGTGCTCTTTCTTGTGATCTCAAAACTTATATCGATAGTTTTCTGCGATTGAAGTGAAGTGAAGTGAATAGAGAAACTTGTTCAGGTTTGTTTTATGATTATGTAGTTTCTGATATTACATATATATATGTGTGTGTGTGTTTGTGTGTGTGTGTGTAATGAGCTCTACTTTGTTAGAAATCAGGTTTTTACAGTGAGATCTTGATGCTGTGCAAGTCTCGTTTGATTTTATCTTAATTTCGGGTGTTTATTTGTATTTTTCTGTTTTGTTTCTCTTTAAAAAAAAAATAAAATTGAAATTTCACCTGGTTGTACTGAAATTTTTTTTGGGCATTTTTCTTTGTTTGATGATAAAATTCTGATTTGTCTATGCGTGTTTGGTTGCCGAGAATGCCTGGGAAAAGCTAAGGAGAATAAACCGACAGTTTCCTTTTTTGGCTGTCTGTTAACCCAGTACTGCAAACTGCAGAATCCAGCATAATAATCTCATTTCAAATTTTAGATCATGGCTTGTGAGCATGAGATTTCTCGTTTGTTTTGATTGGACTTTTTCTATGGAAGTTTAGTTTTCTTCTTTTCAAGCATGCGGATTTTTCTTTGCTGATTTAAATTAGGGTTTTAAGTCTGAGGTCGGCCTAATTTCAACTGTTATTGATGACTGTCTCTTAATTTCTTCTAGTTCTGTTGTCAACATCGTTGAAACCCTGTAAAAAATGGATCTTCTTAGTATTTTTAATTTTGTTCTCTCACGTTGACCATTGGAAATTGTTGGAGGGTCGGCAAAAGGATCTGTCTACACTCAGTAGAGACTTTTTGTAATTTGTCTTTTGCCTTTTTCAAACAAGTATACTATTCCTCCTAGAGCTGCACTGTAGATTAGTCTCCCATGTTTTTCGAACCCGGGTGCGTAATCATCTGAATTTGTGTAGTCCATTGCGGTCTTTGTCCTCGTGGGCACTCGGGCCTGTTGGTCTGGGATACTTCGAAGAACATACTACATACGCCTAGTAATACATCGGAAAATTAAACCTAATAGCGCCAACCATTATCAACTGTTTTTGATCTACGGACACCTCTTCTGAGGTCTCCTACTGCCTTTCATAGGGATATTCATGCTTTTGTATTGTTTGACACTTGCTTTTAATGTATCTATGCTTTATTTTATGTGTTAATTTTAGTTGAAACCTCTTAAAGCTGTTTTATAATATTGAACTGTGGTTTCTGTTTTTCCATGGTGTGTTACAATTTCAAATTTTAAAGAGGGAACGCATGTCAAAATATGAACAATAGAATGAAATTCCTTTTCTTCCCTATGATAGATGTATTTCTGAGTTCTTTTTTAAAAACCATTTCTGCTTTATATAGCTGGATTTTGTTGAAAAATTCAATGTTTGTATGCGTTATGTGCACGTACACACATTTGATCAATGGAAACTACTCCTGTTAGTTGTTGCAATTTAATTGTTTTTTTAATTTCAAGCAGGTTCAGAGGAAATTCTGGAAGTTCTGGAGTCTGATGTCTCCACCCCTGTTAGGTGTTGAGGGGGAAGGTCGGGCCAATGTCTCCTTAGTGGCTGCTTCAGCCTCTATGGACACTATCTCCCAGAATGGGTTGGGATTAAAAGAGCGCAATTATCTGGGTTTGTCGGATTGTTCTTCAGTGGACAGCTCCCCAGTCTCAAGTGTGTCGGAGGATAACAAGAGTAATCTGAATCTGAAGGCTACTGAGTTAAGACTTGGTCTACTAGGATCCCAATCCCCCGAACGAGATTCAGATCTTAGCCGGCTGAGCTCGGGGAAATTTGAGGAGAAGCCCTTGTTTCCTTTGGTCCCTTCAAAAGATGGAATCTATTCATCATCACAAAAGACTGTTGTTTCGGGCAGCAAAAGAGGTTTCTCTGATACAATGGATGGGTTCTCAGAGATGAAAGGTTCTGTGTATGCTGAAGGAAAGTGGATGTTTCATGCAGCTGGGTCTGATTCTGAGACTCCACAATCTGTGGGACAAGGGAAGTTTCCTGGTAATGCAGGAAAAAATGTAATGCTGACCTCTAGGCCATCTGGGGCTCAACCAAACATAACGAAGGAAGTGCCCTCAAAGATGTTACAGGAACGGCCTCGTGCCACAAATGGAACTAATCATAACGAAATAAAGGCTTCTAACAACAATAACAATGCACCTGCTGCAAAGTAAGTGCAAAATCCACTACAAAGAGGGAATTTGGGGGAGAAAAATGAAACAAACACTCACACACGTATGGGCACGCATCTACACACTGGAGTTTTTTTATTTTTTATTTTGGGCAAATTACCAGCACTCCCTTGAGGTTTGACTAAAATACAAATTTCTCCCTGAGGTTTGGGAAATTAAAAATTGTCCTTAAGGTTTATATTTGCATAACAAATGAGGGGCAATTTGTTATGCAAATATAAACCTCAGGAGGCAGGATGTAATTTCTCAAACCTTAGGGGAATCCGTATTTTAGTCAAACCTCAAGAGGGGTGTTGGTAATTTGCCCTTTTATTTTTATTCTGTCAGGATGATTTTTACTTATATTCCTTCCATTGCAGGGCACAGGTAGTTGGCTGGCCTCCTATAAGATCATTTAGGAAGAATACACTGGCTACCACTTCAAAGAACAACGATGAAGTTGACGGAAAACCAGGCCCTGGTACTCTTTTTGTCAAGGTCAGCATGGATGGTGCTCCTTATCTGAGGAAGGTAGATCTACGATTGTACTCTACATACCAAGAACTTTCTACTGCTCTAGAGAAGATGTTCAGCTGCTTCACCATCGGTGAGCTATTTTTGTAGGTTCAAATATTTCATAATTTATGTTTATTTCTTTGATTTTGTGGATGGGTACTAATCTGTTCTGTTGAGATTTAAGAAATGCACCTTGTGTAACTATCTTGGTATGGATTCAGTTATACCACCATTCTATTGCAATTTCAGGTCAGTGTGGATCCCATGGAGCTCCAGGGAAGGAAATGCTGAGTGAAAGCAAGTTGAGGGATATTCTGCATGGATCAGAGTATGTGCTTACATACGAGGATAAGGATGGTGATTGGATGCTTGTGGGAGATGTCCCTTGGGAGTAAGCTTTCATCAACACTACTTGTTTTATAACTCTATGCTTCTATTTATTTACATTTTTCTGTAATTCCAAAAATAAATATTAGTAAAATGCAATATAACTTGTATGTCTAAAGGATGTCATCCATATTTTGTCTTTGTGATGTACCTAAGGATCTTGGCTTCCCTTGACCTGTGGAGAGATAATTTTTCTATTCCAGTATTGTTTTTAACTGGAAAAGCAAGTGAAAAAAGAATGGCTAAGTGAGTCATTTTAAGTAACCATAATACAAGTCTTGTAAATTGAACTTCTTACTCGTGCTAATTGTTGACCAACCACTAATGTGAGTTTATGCTATATATGTATTGTTCAAGTTGAACATTAGTTACAGCACTATCATACTGTAGAATTATTTGGTACCTTGCCATTAAGCAACTATGTAAGTTGACCACAATCTACCCCATTACTAAGAAAGCAAGACTGTATTAAGAAATGTCAAACTAGCTGCATTCATGGGCATCAAATCTGTGTGTTGGAATGCTTATTTTACGACATATTTCCTTGTTAGATTGATTGTCAATAAGATATATTACTCATCTGATGAGAAGATTTTTACCCATACACATTTGTGTTTGCGATTTGTTTGATCCCATTATCTCAAGAACCCATATTTTAAGTATGACAGAATAAGAATGCTAAATTGATATAATTAAGCGGTGGAGGATCATTATTATAAATTATCATAAAAAGTTCCAGTTTTACAATGTGATTATTGGCTAGATATCCAAGATGTGATTTAGATACTCCAGAGAGCCAAATGCAAACCAAAGTATGAATATGTGGGTTCCTGAGATGAAGGAAAGGAAATAGAAAATCATTGGAACGAAGTAATGTATATTCATAAATGTAAGACCTAGAAACTAACCCTTTCTTGTTTGGAAAAATTGACCATTGGTGGATCATTACAGATGGTTTGGTCATGTCTCATATAAAGTGAAAGATTTCTTCATATTTGATTTTAAGTAATTGAATACACATCTAGGTTTGAATAATCCTAATTTTGTAAAGTGACCATGAATATTATTCAATAATTATTCAGATATTCAGGCTTTATAGTTCATTCAAAGTTAAAGTTAAAACTTTCTCGAGTCAGCTAAATTTATTTGATACCACTCAACTATCTGCTTTAAGTTGTATTCCACAATAAATCAACTCAAAATTTTGGTAATGGTTACTCATAATCCTTTTCCTTCGTATATGTTTTAATGGATGGGATCATGGTACATGGAACATGTACAGTGGGCAGATTAGCTTGCTACCGCTATAGTCTTTCAGCTGGCTTATCAACAAGGTATCAAACTTTGTTGCATTACACATGAATGAAAGATAAAAATAAAAAAATAAAAAATAAAAAATAAAAAAATTGGACCATGTTAGTTAAAGCACAGTTCATGATGTATTTTCTCAGTTTTGGTTCAGTATTTTTGTTGTTTTTTTGTTTATGTATTTATTTTTCATCATTGCCCTTTCTTAAGTGTCTTGCTAAAATGCCTTTTTTTGAATCGTTTAACTTGTATAGAGAAGTGTGCAGAGAAACATAGAAAGTTGCACGAGTCACCTTTATGTTTGATTTCAACTTTCACATCCTGCATGTTTTAAGCTATGTTACATGTACTCAAGTGCTAGTATTGGTTGTGAAGGGTCTGTCTAGTCATCGAATACCTGTAACCCTAAATCTTATGATAAATATCCAATAGTTAGGCACAAGTAGATGCACTCGTCCCAAACATTTATATATGTAGTATATTGTATAATATTTTAATTATAGATATTATTTAGGAGTGTACTTATAATTAAACGAGATTCAAAAAAAGAAGGGATTTCTATCTTTCAATCTTGTGAGGTTAAATTTTTTTCTTTACTATCAACTTTGTGCTTCTTCTTTAAACATAGTAACAAATTAGATGATCCAAATGTTTAATTTGGGTAGGGGTTGTACACATTTCCCATATCCTTACATTTGTCATATTTAGTGGGCACTGGTAAATTGGGGGTAAGAGAAGAGTACATGTAACCCAGGTTTTTCACTATGAAGTAGTTTGAAGGTGCAATTTACTTGTTGGAATAGCTGGATGGAAATAGACAAACAGTTGAGGTTGTTGATCTCATAATCTATGGATTAGGGGATCTTACCCAATGTTTCTATTAGAACATATATTAATAATAAGATGGCTACTTGTATAGATCACTCACTTTAAGAATTTTGAACTGTTCATTGATATACGGTATATTATCTTCTAGAATTTTGTTATTGGATAGCTAGTGATAACAAATGTCACATCTCTTCTATTGTATGTATGGCTGGCTCTTAAACTTCTGCATTACTTACTTGGCCTACCTTTTGATTGTTGTGTTGCTTGATGATGCATTTCCTTGTTTTTGGGTATATTTTTTCAAATAAACTGCACTGTTAGCTTAACCCCATTAAGTCTTCAGAGTTGTACTTGGCCTACCTTTTGATTAGTTTTTCTTTGGTTGCTTTGCATACGAGTGGTAACTTCAATTTTGTTTCTTTGCAGGATGTTTATTGAATCATGCAAGAGGCTCAAGATCATGAAGAGCTCTGATGCCATTGGATTAGGTATGTATTTTCAGTCTAGTGATTCATTTTGCCAAAAATAGCCCTTAAGAAGTTTTTCTAGTGATTGGAACTGAAAATATCACGTTATTTTTACTTTTATTTTGTTAAGTAAAAAGGTCACATTGTTTTGTTCTAAGAGAATGTCTTTTTTGGGTGACGAATGCTTGGAATTGGGATTAAGTAGAAAAAATCAGCTGTTTCTATCTTTTATTAAACCTGGTTAATAATGTTTAGGAGACAATCCATGTGGTTTATATCCTTGACTTCAATATGCACTACACTATCTCATAGGCTATACTTATTGTAAGGTATGGAAGGACAGGCTAAGATGACTTGAGCAAACCAGAACCAATCAGATTATTGAGGGTCTTGTAGGGGGAAAATCCCAAATTTTTTAGATGGCAAAATATCTCAAAACTTGTCCATCATTTGTTTTAGAATTCAAGCTATAGCCTTCAAACATATTCTTACTTGTGTTTTGTTGTTGGCAGCCAACCTGAACTCTGCTAAGAGATTTAGGTGCATATAAAGCATGAATGGATGAATTGGACCATCTAATGTCCATTCTTTCATCCTATATATGTGAAAATTTGACTATAACGTGTTTGGTTAGGAGATTTGAGAAGGGATTTGAAAAGAGAAAAGAAAATGTAGATGAAATGTGAATAAAATATACTTACATTTCACACAGTTTCACACAAATTTTCTCTTTCTTTTTTCAAATCCCTTCACAAATCTCTCAATCAAATATAGCGTAAGGGGATTAAGTGGTTCGACATCATAGGTTATAGTTGTACATGCTAAAATAGTTTTGTGGCATTCTACAAAATAATTCTGTCTGTTTGTATTTTTGCTAGTATTTCGTTTGTTTTTGCAAGAAAAAGAGAAACCAAAAAAAAAAATAAAAAAATAAAAAAACACAAAAAGAAAAAAAAAAAAAAAAAAAAAAAAATCATGTTTTGTATCATGAATGAAGGACAAATTAGATTACCTGATCTGCCCTACTGGTTTGGTCTACAGCTCCCAGGGCCGTGGAAAAATCCAAGAACCGGGACTAACCAGCGCTTGGATATGATGACTGCTTTCCAGTCACGTAGTCTGAGGTCAAAAGATTCTCGAGTATTGTTGGAAGCGGATGAAGGTGTTTGGTTGATGAAAGAAGCAAAGTGAGAGGATGGTTTGGGCTGGACTGCAGATCATGGTTTAGATGCTTTTCATGTCTTACCGTGTTTACTTTTTTGCATGGATGTTTTTTTATCTGTGTCTGAACTCTGAAGCCTATGATTCATTATAGGACGTCGTTGTTATGATATTTTTGAGAAGATTACTGTTTGGGGAGTTAATATTTTCTTTCAACCAGCTTTAGTTATGCTTTTGTATTTGATGTGTGATAAAAAACCAAGTGGTAATTATGCTTCTTCATCTGATGTTTTGTTGAATGTCCTGTTTGGTTGATTATGTTGAGCATTGTTTTCATTCTTTAACTCATTAGTTTCTTTAATGTTGCAATTGGTGAACAATTTGCAAGATGCATTACCATAGCTGTGTTTGACGAGCAATGAAGGTAGTACTATAATGAGATTTTTTGTTTTTGTTTTTGTTTTTGTTTTTTTTTTGTGAGGAAGAATCATGAGAGTATTTGTCCTGTGTTTAGAATAGCACATAAGATAGGATAATAAGAGAATTTTGATAATTGGATAGAGTGATGTGATTAATCCTATAAATTTCGTGGCCATGGAATTAGCAAATAAGTAATACTACGGGGTGATATTTCTGTTCTCACCATTTGGCTTGATTGGTAGTGTGAATCGTTAAGTTTTTACTAGAACAAACTGAAGCTTACCTGACCAAAAAAAAATAAAAATGTGAGTTTCATGTGGGCTCAATGTATTTTTTTTTGTTCTCCAACATAAGAGGTTGGGAAGTTTTATGCGACCGACATATCAGACATAGTCTTAATGTATTCTCAACTATTAAATTATATTTTGGATTATATTTTCAGATTCATGTGACTTGAGATTTATATATAAGTTATTATATGGGGATGGAAATATGAAAATAAAAAATTATTAACTTGTTTAAAGTGGTTTTTAATAATGGATATTTGGTTTTTCTCCATAAATTCAAATTTCTTACCTATCTCTTTGTACCAAATGATACAACCACTCAAGGTAAATTCGAATTTTTATGCTCCTTTCAACATATAACCTTTTCATCTCATTCCATTTGAATGTGAGTTTATTTATTTATTTATTTTTATTTAAGGAATCAGAAAATGGATGAAACATATAAATGAGAATTTGAGATATACTGAAAATGGATTAAGATAATTTGTTGTGAATTAAACTATATAATTAAAATAACACGGTCTAAAATATTGGAAAAATTATTTATAAGTCCTATTAGGGAGACTTATGCTATATATGGTCCTACTAGAAAATCTATGTTCCCATAAGTCCTGTGAGAAGTTTGTTGACACATTTACCTTTAGTATTAGTTGTTAATATCATAAATAATAGTAAAATCATATATAAAAAATTGAATGTTATCATAGATCATATCTATATAAACGTAACGTAACGTGACACCTACATAAATGTAACATGACACCTATATGTAACGTGACACCTACATAAACGTAACGTGACGCCTATGATTTATATAGGAAATTGCATGTTACAATAGATCATATCTACATAAACGTAACGTAACGTAACGTAATACCTACATAAACGTAACGTGACACCTATAATCTATAGCAACATTCAATTTCCTATAGGAAATGGAATGTTGCCATAGATCATATCTATATAAACATAACGTAACGTGACATCTATGATCTATGGCAACATTTAATTTCTTATAAGAAATTGAATGTTGCCATAGATCATATTTATATGAAACGTAACGTGACACCAACATAAACCAGCAACATTTTCACATTCAATTTAAAAAAATAAAAACTCATTAAGTTTGCGAAACTTAACGTGGCATGTTACGTTACGTTTATGTAGGTGTCACATTACGTTTATGTAGGTGTCACGTTACGTTACGTTTATGTAGGTGTCACGTCACGTTACGTTTATATAGGATCTTGTGGAATATATTCCTATCTAAATAGGACTTGAGACTCTATAAGAAATTACACAGGACTTATCCTACCATAAGTGTCTGAAAAAGGACTTATAAATAAGTCTCCCTAAAATATTCGGCTATAAACTTTTTAATAATTAATATACTTTTTAAACTTATTTAAATAATTTTTACAAAATAAATACAAAAAAAAAAAAAATTCTTAAAATAAATATAGGGAAAATTTCAAATAAGTGGTAACTTCACAAAATATTCACAAATTTATGAATTTAATTATTAAATTTGTTAAAGTTTATCACTAATTTAAAATTATTTTTGAAAATATACACTAATTTACAATTTTCTCAATTATATATATATATATATATAATAAAGTAAAAGTATAAAGAAAAAATTGGTGATAAATCTAAGGAATGTGTAAGGCATTAGATCCAATGAATATTTTTTGTTGGTGAGAAGTTCAGGTTTCGTGAAATAGTTTGGTGAGAAATCTTAGAAAACATTTTGTTTTCAATTTTACCGATTAACTTTTTTTTATCTGTTTGACTTTCATTAATTATTTGTTCAAATTTATATCTATATCTATTCAATTTTTTGTTGTGATTTGTTTAATTTTTCTCTTAAATTCTATCTATCTGTTTAATTTTTTTCGTTAAATTCTATTTATTTATTCAATTTTATATCCATCTACTTAATTTTTTTCCTTAAATTCTATCTATCTGTTCAAAAATTTCCACCCGATCATCATCATCAACAACTCAGTGTTAAACAATTCAACTTTCTCATCAACCAAACAGAGAACGAAAATTGAACTCGATGCCTTATGATTTTTGATTTGATTTGATATCTCGGTCAATAACGCTATCGTCACTGGTCTTCTTCCAAGTTTCAATTAAGATCTCGTTGAATTCGATGCCTTTTACCTTAAGGTTGATCTAATTTTTGATCCAGAAATTAGAACCTTAGTGTTTCACTTCAATGTCGTGCAAAGCACTGATTTGGGTTCTCACATGTACAATCTTTGCCTTAATTCTGAAACTGTTGTCAGTTGTGATAATCAGAGTGTTGTTCAAAATTGTGAAATTAAATAAATAGATTTATGAAGAAAACAAATTATATACCAAGAACATATGCTGATAATTACAACTAAATTTCAACAGAAATACACAAAAAACAATAAAGGGTAAAGAGAGGGATGAAAAAGTGAAACGAAAGGTCATCTTCACGTACTGTTATACACGCAGTCTGCTTGAAGAATTTAAGATGATCAATTTAATGTTTTGAAGAGAAGGAAGAAAATTTATAAGACTATAAAATTAGTAATTTTGATGTCAATTCCATACATGAACCTAACTCAATATGGAATCTAAGTTAATGCCTCCAGCCTTTAAGGCTAGTCATTAAAACACCAAGCATCCATAGCCCCTTTCCACAAAATGAAAAGTATGGATGCCCAAAGGATTCACACCCTTTAGCCAAGAAAAAAAGATTTAAATACTCTTTAAAATCCTATTTATGAATCTAACATCATGAAGCAATTTCTTGGCAATTTCTTATTCAAAACCCAATGATTTTTGGCTCACTTGGACCCAACACAAAAAATGGTTAGGATCCACTTTAATATTTAATTAAAGTCACCACACTTTAATATTAAATTAAAGTCCCCAAAAATCATTTTTTCCAACAATCCCCTACAAGAATAAAAAATGACCGAATGACTCAACAAACGGACATCGTTCAACAATAAAGACTCTGAGAGAGAGTACAACGGACTAACCCCGACATCAGAGAAGGTAGCTTTTGGTTTTGAACCTCTCCCAGTAAAAACCTATCGAGTTTACTGGCAGATCAGTGAATAAGATATCTTGAACTGCTCTACCGTTTAAGTAAACTGAGACAATAGATCTCACACAGGAATTACTCCTACCACCATTATGTTCTCACTGGTGTGCCTTGTGTGGTCCTGGACACTAGCCTGGTTCAGCGAGTGGTTTCAAAGAATCTTGGCCTGCCCAATTCTTCTAGAAGCGGCCCCACTTCAAACTCACATAGGTGACTCTATTAAAGTATCCTGGATAGAGTGATGTGATTAATCTTATAAATTTCATGGCCATGGAATTAGCAAATAAGTAATACTACGGGGTGATATTTCTGTTCTCACCATTTGGCTTGATTGGTAGTGTGAATCTTTAAGTTTTTACTAGAACAAACTTGAGCTTACCTGACCAAAAAAAAAAAAAAAATTGTGAGTTTCATGTGGGCTCAATGTATTTTTATTCTCCAACATAAGAGATTGGGAAGTTTTATGCGACCCGACATATCAGACATGGTCTTAATGTATTCTCAACTATTAAATTATATTTTAGATTATATTTTCAGATTCATGTGACTTGAGATTTATATATAAGTTATTATATGGGGATGGAAATATGAAAAAAAAAAATTATTAACTTGTTTAAAGTGGTTTTTTAATAATGGATATTTGGTTTTTCTCCGTAAATTCAAATTTCTTACCTATCTCTTTGTACCAAATGATACAACCACTCAAGGTAAATTCGAATTTTTATGCTCCTTTCAACATATAACCTTTTCATCTCATTCCATTTGAATGTGAGTTTATTTATTTATTTATTTTTATTTAAGGAATCAGAAAATGGATGAAACATATAAATGAGAATTTGAGATATACTGAAAATGGATTAAGATAATTTGTTGTGAATTAAACTATATAATTAAAATAACACGGTCTAAAATATTGAAAAAATTATTTATAAGTCCTATTAGGGAGACTTATGCTATATATGGTCCTACTAGAAAACTTATGTTCCCATAAGTCATGTGAGAAGTTTGTTGACACATTTACCCTTAATATTAGTTGTTAATATCATACATAATAATAAAATCATATATAGAAAATTGAATGTTACCATAGATCATATCTATATAAACGTAACGTAACGTGACACCTACATAAATGTAACATGACACCTACATAAACGTAACGTGACACCTATGATTTATATAGGAAATTGCATGTTACCATAGATCATATCTACATAAACGTAACGTAACGTAATACCTACTGTAGACGCGCCCGTGGGCCTCACTACAGTTCGGACTCAATTTTGTTTGCGGTTCTTAATCTGAACTAAAGAGTCCAAATCCGGCAAATCGTTTTGAGAAAACAGATTTTTGAAAGAAGTGCCAAACATGGACTGCTTTGCCAGATACAGAGTTGCCACCTAAATATATATATTTTTTTAAAGGGGAATTTAGGAAACCCTGACTCGGTGCCAAAGGCCACATGTCCGTCATTACCAAAGTTGCCTTGGCTCGGGAGTTAGGG